CCTTGTACAAAGTAAAGACAAAGCTAACTGTTAATTCCCCCTTGTACAACATAAAGACAAAGCTAACTGTTAATTCCCCCTTGTACAAAGTTAAGACAAAGCTAACTGTGAATTCCCCCTTGTACAAAGTAAAGACAAAGCTAACTATGAATTCCCCCTTGTACAAAGTAAAGACAAAGCTAACTATGAATTCCCCCTTTGTACAAAGTACATTCAAAACAAAATGGTGGGCAGACAGACAAGTAGTTATTCTTGGATTTTGACCAGTGGTATGAATCTAACATTTTCTGTCAGATACACATCTCAAATTATAGCTATCTTTATTTATGGCTTTTTGAAAACAGTTATTTCTATTGTAAGTTATACAGTTTAACCAGGGGCAGTTTGTCAAAGATCCTGGATGTCATTTTAGATAGTTGAAGTTCCTGTTTTTCAGCCTTAAGATCGTATCTTGTATCTCCTGAAATACTGTCTTTCTAAAGATAGACAATAATCTATTTATGATCACTCAGCTATAACAGCTATATTTGCAATTGCTTTTTGCAAAGGAGTTTGATTCTATTCTCTTACTGTTTTTGGGGGTTTTTTTTGTTAAAGGATAAAAGGATGATTCAAAGATAATTTTTTACCTTTTTGTTTTCATGCTCTTAGACCTATACTAAAATCAGGGTTAGAAACTAACAGTTTTTGTCCACTAGTCCTTACAATGATAACATATAGCAAAACCTTAAAATGGGCCAATTTCTACTAGTCCTCAGGATACCTTTACTATGGGGCAGTTTGGTAAGGACTACAGGACTTGTGCCAATTTCTAACGCTGAAGATATGTTCAAATAATAGAAGTCAAGGGACCCTTGTCTTAACCCTAATGTTAAAATATAAAGATTTACAGAAACTCTGGATGAATTAATAACAGAAAACCTCAAGAAGTCTGGACATCCCTTAATTTCTAACACTGCAAGTGGAATTATGAACCGATAATAATATCTGATACCACACAAGGTTTGTGTCAAGTTAACATTGAGTAAACATTCCCCAATGGGACACTAAGCCCAGGTCCAAGAGGTCAGTTGGTCAAGGCCTCTGAGACATGGTTGTGTGTTTCAGGACAAGTCAACTGATACATCAATATCTGTCCTTGTCACAGAAATATGTCTATTGAATATAAGAGCCTGCTGTAGAGGCTGTCAAGTAAGAACACGGTTGTCATGTCCATTTGTTTATGTGTTTACAGGTCTACTTGACAACTGAATATGATGTACAGCGTTATTCTATTTTACTTTCTTTCTAAAAGAATTGTTGGTGGGCTAGTGTTATATTTATAACAAATGTTATATTTCTGATAACACTTTCTAAGTAAAGTACAGATTCTCGTACTTTTTGGGATTGAGTCCTGTCCGCGATTTGAACCCACACTGCCAGAGTGAGGAACCGAATCGCCAGCACACATATTATAGTGTTGTATTAATTTGGCAACACAGTATGTAAGAAATGAATTGTGATACACACAGTTATAGAAACTAACAGTTTTAGTCCACTAGTCCTTATAATGATAACATATAGTGAAAGCCTTAAAAATGGCAAATTTCTACTAATCCTTAGGATACCTTAACTATTGGGCAGTTTGGAAAGGACTACAGGACTAGCGCTAATTTCTAATGCTGACAAAGGTACTGTTGATTTTGTAGGATGTGAATGTTAAATAAAATAATTTAAATTAGATAACATGGACAGGTTAAAAAAAATAATTAAATATTAAACTATATGACTATATTGTTCTATTATTGTTGACCAGGCTTGTAGGGGACAGGTATCACAAGGAATCATCTTTACCCCTCTATAGTGCTTCACTCAGCCAGGAAATAAGAAAGGGTGTCCAATTTGAAGCACCTGAATGTTAAGGTCAGGCTGTCTGATAGACAACAGCAGAAGGCCAGGGACTGAAGCCAGTGGTTATGATAGGTAGCCACTGTCAAAGGCCATGCACTAGTGAACTGTTAACCCACTTTATCATTACACATACTGATGTCATTACAGACTCGGACTCAAGTGACACTTGAAGTGAGTCAAGCCTTTGTGATCCCGGTTTAGGGATCGTTTAGAAAATATAATAGTTTGATACTTGCATGTATGCTTCGGGGAAAGACGTGACTGAACATTACAGCCGAGTGACTTCTGAAGGTTGACAGAGATTTGGGCTGTCTACGTGCCTTATCTCTCCATTTATTGTGATAGGATGTGCTTGCTAACTGTGACTAAAGACATTTGTCTCTTGCCTAGCATGACGAAGGTATTTACACATTTTTTAATTTGTGAATAGTTTTAATTTGACACCGTTTTATGTGAGGTAACTTCTAAAATAAGTATAATTGTGCTGCTGTGATAAGGACGGAATGTATGTTTAGACTGGGGGTTAAATGTTGAAGGGTAGGCAGTATTTCTGAAACTTATCAACTATGTGATGAAATGTATCGGGATGTTGAACTATATACAAATGTCAGATGTGGGAATTTTTACTGATATCATGCTGTACTTACAGCACTTGCAGGTCAATCTAGAAATATATCTATGTGTGTTATCTTTCGTTATACATTTTGGTTTTAAAGTTATTTCATTTTTCTCCTTCCTGGGTGATGAGAAGTTTATGACAAGGTGTTACGAGATCACATGGAGAATGTGGGAGGAAAGCCCAAAGTGATCCAGGTCTCAGATGTTTACCGCTTTGGTGAAACCCATGAGCGTGGTGCGGACAAACCTAGTAGTAGTAACATAATCGAGTCAACCCAGGATTCGAACCCACGATCATAGATTTCTGACGTGCTCGAGATGCAACTTAGACGACTAGGCAACCCGTGCCCCCTTTAATAGAAACACCTGTTATGAGCATGGCTTCCATTCAATACTTTGTTGATTTCTCTTACATTGATTAATATAATTATCAAGCCTTAAAGATGGTTCACTACTATTGCAATACAATCGCAGTAGTGAAAGTAGCCCCAATAGTGAGCCCTACAGCTACTTCTACAGCCTCTAATAACATGTCTCTTTCTTCATGACTGTGTGAGTGTTTGTATGCTCCTGGCCCAGAATAACTAATAATTATTTGCAGTACTGTCAGATTATTTGGAAGTCATAGCTGTATTTGTCCCTGTAGTTAGGTATCTTTTTACCGACATTTTTATCTGGCCATGTATCACAATATTAATAGCAAATATCACAATAATCGTTATATACAATCAATACTGTCTTTGAAAGATTTCACGGTTCTGTACGTCATCCATTGTCAATATACGGATGAAGGGACGTAGTGTATACAAGACCCTGCAGTGTCAAACGTCATCCATCATCAGTAAAGATGAAGGACTATAGCGATACAAGCTTTGAAGTAATCACAATGTATACTACTCAAAATAAGGAAGGAACACCAGATTCTTTCATGTTACTATAGTTAATCTGTCATCACATGGGTGTTCTTTAACTTCTTTTGAGCAGTATCAGTCATGACCTGTACATCTTTGTATAACATTGTCTTGTTCTATTGTCGGGAACATGTTTCAAATAGGGGGGTTAGCATTGAAATCCTTAAGATAAGCTTCAAACCTAGAATGTGACAGTTGTTGCTGTTTGTTAAGCATGTAAAGCGTGTGTCCTGTGACTAAAGCAAACTGCCTGGGTTTACCTGTCTACCAGGTGTCGAAATCCGTTATTCTCATGATCAGGTACAAACGATATTACTTCCTTAAGCACGTCTAAAAATAGTGTCACATAAATAGCGTAGTGTCATGTACGTTTGAAAGAAAATGACAGTGCACAATTCTGTTTCTTCCGTCTGTTCTTTTGTCTACATGTACTTTTTGTCTGATATTTGTGTAGGTGTATACTTCAATCATCTGAGCTTGGGTAGTGGTGAAGGTAAATTATTGCTCTGTTGACCAATTATCCGAATATCGACTGACTTTTGTCATTGTGTGACTGAGGTATGGGTTAGTGTGTCCTGTATCGGGCAAGCCTGCATCATTAGGATGAAATGTGGGGCAGTCAATATTCTTTGAACTGCTTCATGAAGAATGTATATATTATATTGGACAGGTTTGTCTAACAGGAAATGAAGTGTCTTTTTTAATATGACTATAGCTTGTGTATGTAATGAGAATTGTCACATTGTATGTGACTTCTGTTTTTAGCGTATTGAGACATGTTGTCGTCTTTTCTTGCTATTCTGACATTATAAGATAGACTCAAGGTTGTCCTTGCTTGACAACGGTGTAAGGATCTATACTGAAAAGTCGCTTTTCACAGTATTAAAGAAGTTGTTATCCATAAAATTGTGTCTATCTTGTCATACGTCAACTTCTAAGCAATGCCTATCAAACAATTTATTCTGACATTGGTGGAATGTGGTAGGTTTAAATGGAATCAGCCATGTCGTGCTTAATGTGTGATGTGTGTAATGTCACTAATGCAGTCTGTGCCAAAAACATGTGAGTCTACTAGCCTGAACTTGGCTCTTAGCATCATTTTCAGTAGAATTTTGTGTTAATATGTGTACAATTATAAGCTGGGCTTACTAGACCAATCGACCCATAAAGATTCCGGGGTAGAATAGGTCTTCAGCAACCCATGCTTGTCGTAAAAGTCGACTAACGGGATCGGGTGGTCAGGCTCGCTGACTTGGTTGATACATGTCATCGATCCCAATTGCGTGGATCGATGCTCATGATAATAATCACTGGATTGTCTGGTCAAGACTCTATTATTTACAGACCGCCGTCATATAGCTGGAATATTGCTGAGTGCGGCGTTAAACAACCAACCAACCAACTAGACCAATCAGAATTTTACTCGACTGGGACCAGTGGCTTAAGTCTCAGTTTGGTAATGTAAGCGTTCATGAGTTACTCACTGAATTCAGAATGAATTTTACAAAGTCACAAATTTCTCAAGTTCTGTTAAGTTTCATAACTTGTCCTCAAACTTATTCCATTCATTATTTATTCCAGGTCAAGATGACGCTAATTCTAAGAATCTTCAACAAGCAGCTCAGCCACTTGTAGAAGGGAGCAAGAGTAAGAAGATCAAAATGGCGGCATCTATACCTTCATCATGCTACCGTCCGAAGCCACAGATCACAGACACCCCGCCGGACGGCAGTATGAACTTTACAATTATGAAGCACCCAAAAGAGGCGTTAGAAATTATGAGCATCCTCCGCCGGACTAAGAAATTATGTGATGTAACACTAATTGTCGGAGAAGAGAAGCTAATGGCTCATAAAATAGTGTTAGCTGCGGCTAGCCCGTATTTCCGTGCCATGTTTACTGGCGGGATGAGGGAGGAGGAAATGTCGTCTATTCCGCTGCACGGTATATCGCCATGTACGCTAGCTGTTCTTGTGGAGTTTGCATATACTGCTGAAATACACATCAACGAAATGAACGTTTGTTATCTTCTTCCAGCTGCCACCATGTTTCAGATGACGCATGTCGTTGAGGCTTGTAGTGTTTTCCTTGAGCATCAGCTCGACCCTAGTAACTGTATCGGTATTGCTGACTTTGCAAGCGAACATGGCTGTCCAGAGCTTGAAACGAAAGCAAGAACATATATTTACAAACACTTCTGTGAAGTTATCAAGTGTGACGAATTCCTCATGCTGAGTCCTTGCCAAATGATAATGCTCATCAAGCAAGATGAATTGAATATCCGCTGTGAGTCTGAAGTGTTCCAGGCAGTGATTCGATGGGTAGAATCAGACACGGAAAAACGTCTCGGCAAGTTGGAAAGTCTCTTAGCGGCAGTGAGGGTTCAGTTCCTGTCTCCATGTTTCTTAGAACAACAGCTCAAAGACTGTCATATTCTCAAAAAGATGCCGCAATGTCTACAGACCCTGAATGATAAACTTCGAAAGCTCAAACTTCATGAAAAATGTCCCGAAAAGCCTCGATTACCTTGTGCTCCACTTGTTATCTTTTGTGCTGGTGGTTATCTTCGACAGTCCCTAAGTAATTTTGAGTGCTATAACCCAAAGTCAAATCAATGGCATCGTCTTCCTGATTTGCCAACCCCTCGGAGCGGACTCAGCGCGTGTTTAGTTCGGGGAGCTCTGTACGTGGTTGGAGGGAGGAACAACTCCCCTGATGGCAACATGGACTCCAACACGTTAGACATGTATGATCCCATGAGGAATGTGTGGACACCACGGTCACCGATGACTGTCCCCAGGAATCGTGTGGGTGTAGGAGTGATTGATGGAATGATCTACGCAGTTGGAGGCTCTCAAGGACAAACTCACCATAAGTCTGCTGAAAAGTAAGTACGCCGATTAAAAATATACTACTCAAAAGAAGTTAAAGAACACCCAATTCTGCATTGGTGTTACAGATTAACTGTAGTAATATGAAAGAATTGGCTGTTCTTTAACTTCTTTTGAGTAGTATGTGAATATGAAACACTTTTGTTAGGGGTATTTTATTGTGGGACTCGGCATTATGATATTAGTATTGACTGCAACTTTAAAAGTCATTGACGTCTTTTGGACAATGTGTTAATAAAAATTAAAAGACAAATACAACCATTTTAATGCAGCATGCTAGTATACCACAGACTTGAAGCAAAAATATTGTTTGGTAATAATACAATAACACTACAAGAATAGTCTCATATACTCTGAAGATAATTTGCTAAAGATTTCTGTTTATTAAACACTGCACCAACTGCATCAAACATGTCAAAAACATCCCCAAATTAAAGTTTAAATCATCTTTTTTTAGATATGACCCTGAACTAGACTGCTGGACAATGGTATCGACCATGTCCACCAACCGTATTGGTGTGGGATGTGCAGTGGTCAACCGGCTGCTGTTTGCAGTTGGGGGATATGATGGACAAAATCGTCTGAAGAACGTGGAATGTTATGACCCCGAAAAGGATGAGTGGCATTTTGTGGCCCCGATGAATACCATGAGAAGTGGAGCTGGTGAGTGGTTGATATTTTTCACTTGTCAAAAATGCTATCTTGCTTATTAATATACTGGGAATTATAGATCACTAGTACCTCATGCTTGTCATAAGTGTAGACTGAAATGGGTATTGGTTCTTTTCGGGTTGTCAGGCTCTGATTGTAGTGTTGTAGTATCCTGTCGACATGGGACATTGTTCAGGCTATTGACCACTCACTTGTTTGTAGGTCGTTGTGATGTAGCCAGAATATTGCTGATACTGCTGTAAAAACATATCAATATTAAAATACACCATGAAAATTCTGGAGTCAAAATGGTCCCTAGTACCTTTACAGTAACACTGGCCCGCTGGTCCGAGTTTAGTATTTTTTCTGAAGGATCAGTAAAATTAAATAAATGGTGGTCCGGTGGTCTAGTTATTTTGGGGACAAAGTAATTTAAGTTTGTATGACTTTTAAAATCAGCGATAGATCGAGTCTAAACTCTAAGCATCATTGTGTCTACTAGAGATCCAAAAGGACCAATACATTTTGGGGGGGTTCTGGTTCTTTGGACCACTGACAACTTTTGGTCAGTATCAAGCACTGCAGTACCCCATGTTTATTTGAAAAACCAACAATGATCGCTGTCTGACTTTCCTGATTGCTGTCATGCACCAACACCATGGATTCTCAAGCTTTCAATTAGCAGTTTGTCTGCTCTCGTCTTGATTAATTCTGCTGTGTATTAATGTCATTATGTTGACTACCATGGAACAACTTTCTCTTACGGATCAATATGCTGTCCCTGTTGCAGGTGTTATCGCTATGGACTGCTACGTGTATGCTGTGGGTGGGTACGACAGCACCTGTCAACTGAGGTCTGTGGAGCGGTACCACACAGAAAACAACACATGGGAGTTTGTGTCCCCCATGAACAGCCCGCGGAGTGCTCTCAGTGTGGCCGTCATCAACGACAGACTCTATGCTCTAGGTAACTGCAGAACTTGGTGTTACATAGTTGTGGATTAATCAGGGATTGCAATTAACTAAGAAAGTCTACTATCCCGATTAGTGATAACATATAGCAATATCCCCAAAATGTTTAACAAAACTTGTCAAGGCTTGTGGGCTAGTGCTAATTTCTGTGTTTGAGATGCCGGACATGTGTGTGAGGTGCAGGACATGTGTGTGAGATGCAGGACATGTGTGTGAGATGCAGGACATGTGTGAGTTGCAGGACATGTGTGTAAGATTCAGGACATGTGTGTGAGGTGCAGGACATGTGTGTAAGATTCAGGACGTGTGTGTGAGGTGCAGGACGTGTGTGTGAGATTCAGGACATGTGTGTGAGATGCAGGACATGTGTCAGATGCAGGACATGTGTGTGAGATGCAGGACATGTGTGAGTTGCAGGACATGTGTGTGAGATTCAGGACATGTGTGTGAGTTGCAGGACGTGTGTGTGTGAACAAGATTCCAGAAACAAAGAATCTGTCCCCTCCCTACCCAAAAATTGTCATGTAACCAGTGTCATTCAAATAAAACAGTATTTGTATATTCACACCCATCTTGCAATAAACTTTTTCTCACCTCTGGCCCTCATGCATGGTTTACATACAACTATGTGTAACATACATATTATCTACAATATGATAATGATACACGTACTCACTAGTAAGCAAGCAAGCAAGCACTGGGGTATAAAGATAGACAAGGGGAGGTAACTCATGCAGGTCCAATTGACAAGGCAACTTCATGCCATGCCCCCAGAGGTGTCTTAGGGTTGTATACAGGGTTTTATTTTTGAGTGCAACAGTTGTTCTGATGTTATCTGTGTTTTACTATGTTGACCATTGATTAATGAATGAATTTTATTTAGAATTCCTTCCATAGATGAAACAGATTTATAATGAAATTACATAAGAATATTGATAGAAATTTGGAATAATATTTGGATTTGGAGTAAATGTAACTTAACCTCATCTGAAGTCCAGATCAGTTGTCTGTCCATTGTCCACTGTTTCAGTGTATTTCTAGCCTATATATTTCGTCTTGTTTTGTTTATGGCTGTAAAGATACAGGTTGGTCTTCAGCAATCCATGCTTGTCATAGGAGGCGACCAACGGTATTGGGTGGTCAGGCTTGCTGACTTGGTCGATGCATGTCATCATATCCCAATTGCATGGATCGATGCTCATGATGTCAATCACTGGTTTGTCTGATTTAGACTATTATTTACAGGCTGCCATCTTTGTTTGTTAATGTAACCTTTAACTTTAATTCAATGTACCATTTATTTTCAGGTGGCTATGATGGCAATGATTTCCTGTCAACTGTTGAATGTTACAACCCTGACACTGACCAGTGGAATGAGGTGACAAACATGACATGTGGCCGCAGTGGACATGGGGTGGCCGTTGGTGCCGAGCCCAGTTTGTAGTGATAGCAGTCAGTCACCCCTCCTGACCACACCACCACCACCGCCACTGCCACCACCACCACCGCCACCACCACTACCATGCTCTAAGACAGATGAAGTATTGCAGGGCCACCCAAGTGGAAACATGTTGTCTTGAAGATAGTATCATGTGCACTCTCAAGAATGTACCATCGATGGACAGATTGAATGTTTAGCTCTTCCTTAACGGGGTCAACTCATTAAGGCCATGTGTTTCCCAAGGAAGAGCTTTCAGTCAACATCTTCATGATGAGAAGTATGTCACTATTGATAAGAAACATGTCATGATTGATCAAGTTCTTCAGATTATTCAATGAAACTGTGACTGTTTCTTGAAATCATTGAATTGGTGACTATTACAATTATCAAACAGATGATAGCAGATGCAATCATGTTTTATCTAATGGACAAGCAGCTGTACGGTATGCACTTTGGAAAGATGCTTCGTGGAATGTGTAACCATGGAGACGGTTACAAGATTGAAGAATTAGGAGACTGGTGGCTGATTGAGTTTGGTAGTGGTCAGGGTTGTGGTCCAATATCAAGCTCTCCACACCGTATTTACCATATCACTGCTCCATAGGGCCAGCATACTATTTGCCATACAACTATTGCAAAGACATTCTATTTTGTTGATCTGGCAAGAGATATCATATATTGTACTTTTATCAACTGTGTGTTGATTTGGGTATATAATATTCTCGGGGTTTTATACCAGAAGAGGTGAATTTGGACAAGCATTGCTATTGAAACAGCTTTCATCATGATCAGCTTTGGCGTTGAAACAACAGTTGGACAAGCATTGCTATTGAAACAGCTTTCATCATGATCAACTTTGGTGTTGAAACAACAGTGTAGGGTTGTGACTAATTCGGAACTATCATAACAAGAAAAGAACCCGATATCAACTAAACGCTACATTGTTGAGAGAAGGGCCAGGATTGTGCAACTATTTGAAGTTGGGTTTATTCCGGGATGGTTTCTGGCCATGCAAAGGATTGTCTTTCATTGATATACCTCAGTTCCTGGTATTAATGCTGTATCAATACTGACAGTACTTACAATTCCATGTTGAGTTCTGTGATGTGTGAGATTTGAGTGTTGCCTGTGGTATGTTTGTGGAGGGGTGGTGGTGATGCTCGCTATGTTCACGGTGTTGTGATAGAAGACGAGATCTTATCAGCTACTGTGTAGCATAGGTACTCTATAGCATTCATGTTTTCAGTATAAGCCCGCGGTTACGAAATGTCCTCTTGACTCAAATTTGGTAAATCTTAATAAGGTCTTAATGGTTTGGGTTGCTAAGGGAGCTGTGATTTGGAATTGTTTCCCTCAGTTGAGTTTAAAAATATCAAATTTATTAATTCAGTTCTACAAAATGGCTATTGATAGGGTGTAATGAATTACGAGTCAGGATGCAAGCAGAATAGGATGCTAGGTTACAATACAAATACAGTTTATTACATAAACACTGGTACAGAGGGACGGGGACCTTGTCAACATGGGAACCACATTTGTTAAACATAATGCGTGTGTCATAATCAGGGCACAGGTACTGTGTCAGTGTACTTGTGAGTAGTTACGTCCCTATCTTAATGCAGTGGGTAAAAGTAATCATGAAAGTTAAGGGGTCTTGTTATAGCCCTAAAATAAGAGGTTATATTTCTAGGGGCTCCCAAGATACTTCAGGAGAAGACCCTGAGGATCCCAGAACCACCCGCAATTTTAAAGACATGTTTCTGTCATATCAGAGTTGACCGGACATCTAAATCTTGGGCATGAATATCACTAAGATTGGTGTAAAATATATTAGGGTGGTTCAGATTATGACAATCTTTTCATGCCAACAATTTTACAGCATGTTTCATAACTACTTAGGGGGGGCACGGGTGGCCCAGTCGTCTAAGGTGCCGTGATTCGCTGTGCAGAGTTGCATCCCTTAGGCACGCCAGAAACCTATGATTGTGGGTTTCAATCCCGGTTCGCCCCGATTATGTTTCTAGGTTTGTCAGCACCATACCCGTGCTCGTGGGTTTCACAGAAGTGGTAAACGTCCGAGACCTGCTTCACTTCGGGCTTTCCTCCCACATTAAACTGACATGCCGTGATATAACTGGAATACTGTTAATAGCGGCGTAAAACCCAACTCACTCACTCACTCACTCTCATAACTACCTAGAAACATGACTTTAGCCCTATAGTTTGGTTATATTTAATTAATGAAAACAAAATTGCAATAAACCAACCCTATTTTTGTATTAATTTCATCAGAACTACTCCTCTTATGTTTAAGGCATTAAGTCATTGTCTTTTTCATAATGTTACAGGATATAAATGGAATATGTTGTTATGCCAGTTTAAACATGATGTGACCACCTCCTATGTTTGGTTGAATTGTCTCAGTTTCATATCAGGGTTGTTATGATTTGTGTTTTGACCGTTTTGTTTATTTCGTTAATATCGTTTCAGTTTCTCCATCATTCTTTTGTTTTTTGTTGATATTTTGGAACAAAAGAGTGGCTGATGAAACAAATCTTCTTTTTTGATTTAGTTAATTATCTTTCCTCAGAATCAGACCCTTTTGTTTCGTTTGTGAAGAATATAAAAACAGTCCTGTTCTCTCTAAGACTGCAATATTTGTTCTTACAACTTTTTATGTCTTCACATTATTATATGAAAAGGGTTTGGAAACTGAGTGAGATTTCCATCTTCACCGATAATGAACGAACATCGGGCTTATGAGATTTTTCCCTCATGTAAAACATTGATGTCTTGTCATAATTCTAAATAAGCTTCTTAGAGTAAATATATATTGAAGGTGTGAGTAAGAAAGTATCTAACAGTGTATTTCATTATCACTATTTAAACCATATGTCAGTACTCTATATATGAATGGCATCATTTACCATTATTGTTGAAAAAAAAAGCAAATAAATAATTATTTCCATTTTCTTAAGACATTTACCTTTTTAATCAGCTTGATAATCTTTATATAGATCAAATTATTCAAGCCAGAATTGCAATAAAAAGAGATTGTATTCTTTCACCTAACGGCAAATTTACTGGGTCATCCAAGTTTCAACCTGAATGAAACAGTGTTTGTGTTTTAGGGAAGGAAATAATGTTTGATATTATAACATCCTGAAACAGTTTCAATATAAAGTTGATGCAAGTAAAGGTTGAATGATGTCACTTTACAGCGATAAAAAATGACAGTTTTAGTCCACTAGTCCTTATTATTATAACATGTAGCAAAATCCTTAATAATGGCATGTTTCTACTAGTCCTAATGATACCGTAACTATTGGGCAGTTTGCCAAGGACCACAGGATTAGTGCCAGTTTCTAACGCTGCATCATGACTTGTTTACAAAGTTTTAGCATTCTGTTGATAAGTCCTCTTTCAACCTATATGCCATTCTTCTTCTCCTGACCATGGCTAGTCATTCAACAACATTTTCACTTTAACCAACTTGAAATCAAAACTTGTCGCAAACAATCCATTCTGTATCTAGTAAGTTCATTGTAGTAGTCATTTATGAAAAATATATATCACTGAATCATATTTAAATGAATGATATACTATTTATAAATATGTGTCCTTTTCTTTTGATGTAAATCTTACATTTTAGCAGGCAGTAATTTACATATATCACTGACCTTGGTAAAACTTCTTCTTTTTTTAAAGAATAAAGGAGAAAAATCATATACAGTGATGTATATTTCTCTGATGACATTCTCCCATAAACTTTATTTCAAACCGGTGAATGACAATAATGAACTGTGGTAGCATGTTGTTGGCGAATAATTATTAATAACATTGCGAGCCTTGTATTGTGGAGAGTTCTCCTGTCCTTGTCCAAAGTTACTGATTGTCATTTGTAAATGTGCAGATGTCAGTGATTCTAAGCACTGAATCGGAAATGTAGTCTGATAACATCCAAAACCTTATATCAGTAGATTTAACATCAATGTCACAAGCAACTCTGAAACAGGTGCTCGCTGCTCTATGCACAATTGGGGCTCGTGTCAATAGTCCAGAAGGATATGCTATTTTTCGATAATTGTTATCGTAAATGTTGATTGAAGCTGACGCAGGTTGACTTTGTACTTGGTCACACAAAGCTATCAAGTCCTTTTGACGTATTGATAATGGACAATATTTAACGTTTTGGCATATGTTAAGAAGCATTTCTTTTTAACTGTGTTTATATATTTTCTCACCTCGATTACCAACATTTCAAAATTCTTTAAGAAATTATCCAAAGATGCAATTTTTATGTATAAGATGTTCATGAAATAATTTTGTCTGTTTCTTGTTTTGGAGAGATAGAAAAAAGATGTCAATGTAACTACACCGAAGACCTAGTTTCTGAACTTCCACTATTGTACTCTGGAACTGTTGTCATCAAATCTTTTCCATGCCTGTACTACTTTCCTTTCACTAGTCTCTAAACATTAAAAATATATTGAAACCCTTCCAAAAGATTCAGCAAAATTACAAACCAATATATTAATTGATTAAGTGTTCCATTTATAATTGTCAGTAAGAACAATCAAATTATCATTATTCAATTATCAGTTTATATCATCGGTTTATTCCTACCATCAACATATTACTATACACAACATTTGTGTTATAAAAAAAATAATCATTTAAACCAAAGATGGCATATTTGTCTCTTCTCCATGGTTAACAATTGGGGGAGTGAGAGGTCATTAAAAATGTTTTCAGTTTCTTTTAGACTATTGGATGAACTTAGGTGTCTAATTGATACATATGTTCCATGTTTTGTAATTGTTGTGTATTACCTGTTGTTAGTTGTTGTCTGAGAAAATGTCTCCTGTCCATTGTATATAATTAATATCATGCGCTGAGATACGGCAGAATGCTGCATAGCCTTCTAGCAGTACCTTCAGACAATTACTGATCATTTATTATCTATTGATGCAATTGATATTAAAATATCTGCATCGTACCTGGTTGTTTTGTTATATTTTTTGCATTATGAATATCTCAGTTCCTACCTGACCTTGTTAAAGAGTGGAATAAGTTCACAGCTTCAAGATGCCATCACAGATTCCCAACAAAGTGAGTGAGTGAGTGAGTTTTACACTGCTTTTAGCAATATTCCATCAATATCACAGTGGGGGAACACCAGAGTGAGTGAGTGAGTGAGTGAGTATGGTCTCCGCTTTTAGCCATATTCCAGCAATATCATGGCAGGGGACACCAGAAATTGGCTTCACACATTCTACCCATGTCAGGAATCGAACCGGGGACTTCGGCGTGACGTGCGAACGCTTTAACCACTAGGCTACCAGACCGCCCCCTAGTCCTTTCACAAAGAAAGGCAACACATGCATATGGTTTTGATAATATAAACTTCTTCTTTGGGACAAAACTTGAACAGTTTGTCACAAGGATCCCGTTCTTAGCTCTAAGAGTGTAGTTAGTTTATGTTAAAGTTAGGATTGTGTTGATGCTGAGATGACTTTGTAGAAGGGGGCACTGGGTAACACTAAGATTGTATACGAAACTAAAAATCATTACCTTAATTCAAAAAGTGAAGTGTGTGTGCCCCTGTTTCCTGTCACTGAGTCCCTGTGGTCAGTGGATAGAGTGTCAGGCAGGAGAGCAGAATTTCAGGGGTTCGATCCCTGTATGGGTCATACAAAAGACCTTAAGATATGGTACTTGTTGTTACCCTGCCTGGCCCATGGTTTTAAGGGGATAAAACAAAAACTTGGTCAGAGTCAGTATACTCTTTCTGAGTGGAGTATCCATGTTTAACTGCGGTATGGTATATCAGTGAGCTAGCACCCTTTTAAAAACACCCCCCTGTGATATATGTCATGCCCCTCACAAACTGATGAGCTCGTGACACAGAGAGACTGCTTCACA